GGAGACAATACTGTTTCGTTAAATTAGTGACATCACAGCCCTACATCTACCTACAGAGTACCATCTGATTTGTCTCTTTAAATGCCAAGGAAAATATTTAAAATATTCAAAATATTCAAATGCCGATCCAAATCGTCCGATGTACTATGTTTGGATTCTTCCTATTTCTGTAGGCCGCGTGGACCCTACTATTTCCGTGGTTCCTAATGCCGGGCCACTCGCTTCTTTCTTGGCAATGCATAAACTTCATATTAGATTATGTAAAAAGGATAGGAAACCTTTGGAATCCATGGATATAGTAGTAAATACCAAATAACAGTCTGGGTAGCGTCGATCAGGTAGAATGTTTATCGTTTGTAGTGGAGGTATATACATCGTACCTGGGCAGCATTCGAAGAACTACAAAGTGGTCAGTTGATCAAAGTATATCAACATATATAGTAGTGGTATCTTAGATGCAATGCCTCTTACACCATCTCAAACCAACTACACAACACATCTGTATTCAGATCTACTCCGTTACGATGTATATAAAGGTGCCGTATGTTGTTAGTGTCGGAACCAATGATGTAATTGTAATTGGATCCGAAAGGTCCAAAATAGGGGATTGCAAGGGTTCCTTCACACCTATCTTGAGAGTATTTTGTTGAAATAGGATACATGTAGGGATAAATACCCGATATATGTTGTCTAAGGTGTCTATTGGTCATGGTCTTCTAGGGTCTGTATAAAGCCCTATACAAGGTAGTGTTGATATAGATCACGTGATACAAAAACCACATTTGAGCTTTAGTTCAGAACGTAGACATATGTAATACTACAACTTGTATACAACACTGAGTATACTTGTGATAGAATATCCTCCTTGTCCTCAATAAACCCTAAGCCGATGTTAAATCGTAAATCATTCCTCCGCTCATTGTTTAAAAAACGTTGTTTTGTTTTGGGAATGCTGACCACAGGCACGTGACTAGATGGGAAAAACAACGTTGTCAGAGGAACGGGCCCTTTTCTGTTTATCCTCCCTCGACTCACACAACGCGGCTAGCCTCTCAGAGCCCAAGGCTGGCGACAAGTTGTCACTTTTTGGTTAATGTTCTTGGATCGTTTTGGATTACATATTTTGTTTGTCGGGTGTGCCTGCCTAATTTTGGATTTGAATGGTCTTGTGAACGTTGCGAAACGAGACAAACGACTAGCCATCGCCCTGGTTACCAGCTCCTCCACTTACTAACTCAAACGAAGCAGAGCATGATGCCGCCAGAACTCGGTAAGTGCAGTGCAGTACTACAAATAATAAGCTCTGCGGGTCATTTGGTTCCCCATGCTAACGTGCTTGCAAGCTCGAGCTCACTCGCAGGGCAGTGTAGTGTCCCAGACAACACAGATTGCCCCTCAAAGCCGACCAGGTACTGCAGACCCCGTGCGAGCACGCTCCGAGGCCCTTTCAAGGGCTAGCCGTCGCCCTCGGTCCAGAGGATCAACAGCAAGCATCCACTCGAGTACCACTCAGCAAACCCAAGACCAGCACCTCGACGGGTTCCCACAGTTTATGCCATCGCAAGTCGGAACGGGCCAGCATATGTTCAACAACCCGGAGGACATGCTAATGCGATTTGGGCATCAGCTTTCACACCACAACGGCGCACCGCTGGATCAATCAATGCAAGACCCCCATACCGGGATGTCTCGAGCCGATGACTTTCCAAACCACCCGATGCAGGGCCACCCGCTTTCCCACCACCCCATACAGGCTGAAATACCAAGCGGCTTGCCTGGTGTATCTGTCCCGCAATACCAGCCAATGTATGACAGTGGCGTCGAGAACCACCTTCCGGACCACATCGTCGAGGATCAAGAGATCTCGGAGCCAGGAGCTAAAAAGAAAAGAGGAGCTAGCTCGACTGTGGCAAACGACAACGAGTTGCGCAAGCTGCTTCGCCAGTATGAGGGATGGAATCTTAAGCAAATGGCAGCCGAAGTTATGAAGAATGAGGGTGGTGGGGGCAAGGCTGAGAAAGTGAAGCAGGTCTTCGCGATGATCTGGTAAGGCACATTGCCACAAATACCCTGCAACCATGCGTCTAACTGTGTGCACAGGCTGAGAGAAAATTGCCGTAAGAGCAGTGGTTCAGTACGCCGTGACCGGGTCTATTGCTGCTATGCAGAGAACTGTGGAACGGAACGCGTCTCAGTACTGAACCCTGCATCATTCGGAAAGTTGGTTCGCATCATCTTCCCCAATGTACAGACTCGGCGTCTTGGAGTTCGAGGCGAGTCCAAGTATCACTACGTCGATTTGTCGGTCATCGAAGAAAAGCAACAAAAGCTTGCACCTCTCAACCCACAAATTGCTCATCATCCAAATGGCCCTACTTCTATGCCCTCCAGGGCTGCCAGTGCGATGCGCTCGAGAAGGTGAGATATAACTGACATCAATCCTCGTTCGCTCTCACTAACAAATGACTAGTGCTAGCGTACAGCAACCGACTGCCGACACTGCCATATTCCCATCTCCCACCACTTCCTTCGCTCCTCGCTTCCCGAACAATGCCTCTCCTACCGACTGCAATTGCCAAGGCCACACCCCGTCTGGACCAGATGCGACGATCACTCGCGAGAACGTAGCCCAGCAAGCTGGGAAAATGATACACCAGATGCTTCAGTTCCCGATGGATGAGAACACTTTGGTTGATAACGATACCCTTCAACTTCCCGATATCCGTGCCTACTTACCTGCAAACACCGACTTGAAAGTTGCTGCAGCCCTTGCAGCCCTATATCGCTCCCATTGTATTTCGGTCATCGACAGCTTCCGATATTGCAAGGAAAGAAATCTTATGAAGTATTTCTCTGCTTTCCATGGAACATTGACTGTTCCCGTTCAAAAGTTGTTAACCCATCCCAACCTTGCTCCCTGGATCAAGGAATGTGATTGGATGATGTACCAGAAGATGATTGCGTTTGTGGCGCCCCTAACAACCCAGGTGGTTCCCAGGCCAGTCTTAGACGCTTTTAACTCTATCTCACAACGGCTTTGTGGCCATATCGCTGAGACGTTTAAGACCCAACCAACCCATGTCTCTTTAGCACGCCTGATTCCCGCGCATATATTTTGCAATCTCCTCAAGCACATGCTTGATGTGAACCAGGCTGCCAATGCCGCTGCCGCTTGGCTTTGCCATCCGGATAACCGAAACCAAATGTGGACCGACTTTAAAACGATGGTCAATCCTAAAGATATGATGACCAAGGCGAACATTCCGACCTGTGCTGAGCCAGCGACAGAGCAAATTCTCAAGCATGACATCCGTGCGCTCTTGACTCCACTGACTGATGCCGACCCCTCCACAAGCTTGCTTTTCTTCACGCAACCTGATAGCCCCGATTCTGTTGAGGCCCATAAGTTCCCTGTAGAAAGTGCTCCCGGAGACGAGTACAATTTCCCCGACAAATGGGTTCAATTTATCCTCAACATCCCCGCCGCCTTTGCCAATCACCGCACGCAGTGTGTCATTGAAAAAGTTGATGCCTTGTGGGATAGCGTGTTGCACCGACTTACCCTGGCTGGCGCACCAAGCTTTAGTGCCTGGTGGATGACCAAAGTCTTCTTCCACGAAATGATGGTCTGGCAAGCAGAGAAGGGCGGTTTCATGCGCAATACCCCCGGATCTCTGCAAAGTGCGACGTTTGGCCCCGAATCACTCGGCCACTTTCAGATGAAACAAACGTCTGTTTCTGAGACATCCCCTTTTGACGCATCAAATGATTCTCAAGCCAAATCCAACCCGAGTCCTGTGGCTCACAATGGCCATCCAAGCCACCCTCCCAGTCAACACCCAGAATTCAAACACCCTCCCAGCGAGAAGCGACTCTCCCTTCAGGATCAGGGCTTCCAAGGTCATAACAATGACGACAGCGCAATTGACCTTGAGGATGATACTATGTTGCTTGCAGTTGGTAAATACGGTGACATGATGGTCTCCGATCCCGCAGATGCCGAAGGTGATGTCGTCGTCATCTAGTCTAATTTTTGATTTCTGTTCATGAGTTGGAGTTGGATATCCCTTGTTTCTCTGGAGGCTTCTCTGCTGGCTGGCTGTGGATGGCGTTCCCACGATTTTCCTTTGTTTTTCTTTTTCATCTCCTTTGTTTGCATGAAGCGATGAGACACGAGCAATGAGGCTCTCAAGTCTTCCTTGCATCCCCGGCACGCCGGGTGTTTTCTTTTGAACCTACAGCATTTAATCGGCGTGGCGGAAATCAGTACTGACTTGGTTCTTGCTTCTCCTTTCCCTGTTTGTTTACTTTCGGGTCTCCTATCGAGTCCCTCTGTACATATTCCTTGTGGACGTACCTTGATCATTGACGCGATACTTTAATGTGCATGAATAGCTGTTGTCACACATTTTTATGTGATCTTTAACTTGATTGCATTCCCTCATGGTTCTCCAACTCCATGTACAGTAGAATAATCTTATACCGTTGAATTTCTACCAACATATGATTATTGGAGGTATCTCCTTGGAGAGATGGCTGTTATATCAGTAGTTTGCCCAAACCATTTAGAAGTGAGACACATTTCCAAGGTTCTATATATATTTTATATTTTAATATTTTTTGCTTTTCTTTCTTTCTAGTTCAATCCCCAGACGCTCTGGCTTTAACGTTAAATCTGGATTCATTATTGCACTTTGGAAAATTCCTAATTGAGGCGACCAACAAAAAAATATGGATGCATCACTCTGAGGAAATCGTTCGTTTTATAGTGGTAGGGATGAAATTTCGAGTGAGGATATGCGCAAACAGAGTGTAGTATATAGTAACAGGTGCCACTCACTGTTACATTGTACGCTTTATGATGATGGCATCCCTTCCGCATCGGGAAGCGATGTGGGTAGATTGATTACTGTCTGTCCCTTTTAGACTATAAGATGATGCAAAGTCGTGCTTGGTGAGACATCCCAGAGCTTTGTCAACCAGAGCTTTGTCAACTACCTTCAGCAGTTTGTTTGTATCTCTAATCCGACACTGATCCTCACAGTATGCTCTGGCACATCGTAGCTCGCAGCCCAATCCAGCTCATTAGAGTGCGCTAGAATGGCATAGGGAATGGCCAAAGTAAAGATAGCACCAAGGCTAGGCCCTTTGGGCACGTCGAGATTATTATAGAACTCACGGTGGCTGTATGCTTAAGAAAAATGATGCTGAGAATGGAGCCATAGGCTGCATTCTTCCTCTTTGCTTGCCTATAGAAATGTCTAGTGAAATTCAGAAATGGATAGTTGACCCTTCGACGAAAGAGTGATCGGATTGCGGGTTAACAATAACAATACATGCAGGCCTGGTCAGAATATTGTTTCGAACAGTTGGAATTCTTTGGTCAACTTACGATCCGGCCATAATATCGGAACCGCCACTGAAAGATTTGGTCAAGCTGGTCATGACAATATCAACATATGGCAGAACATCGACATTGATGAACGACCTGATGGTCTCATCACACGCAATTGGAAAGCTGTACCTGTCCACCAGAGTCCGAAGACGTTGCAGATCCGGAGAGCACATTTGAGGATTGCTGGGGAATCCAGATAATAAGGCATCACAAAATAACGCACTGGTTCTGTGTCCACTGAACAGATTGGCTTCGAGCTGATCGAGTTTCTCTTTGTTCCCCCGGCCATGGGGTGAAACTTGACCACCCCGTCATTTCAATACATTTCATGGCCTCTGAATAAATAGGGTAATCTATTGAGTGGTTAGAATGCACCACTCTGAAAAGTCAACGGTGATGCAAGACGAACCCGTAGACGACGACAGAATCCTGCTGGTTCAGGTTTGCCAACGTGAACGCCCGAGAAACTCCGTAGATTGCGCTGATACCAGAAGAAGGGACACATCGCATAGATCGCTGGGACATCTTAAGAGCCAATAGAAGCTTAAAAACGTGATGAACCATCGATTTCTTTACACATGCAGCCGCTAATCCCAATAAGGTTAGTTTACATGAGAAGACTATCAATGCGAGAGAGAACCAAGGGTGATATTTGCAATAATAGAACAAAAAATGACATCCAGTTATGATCAAGTACAGGTGTTCGCGATAGATAAGATGGATATATAAACAAGTACACGAAGAAGAATCGCTTCTACTCCGGACGACATGCCAGATTTGTCGGGAGCTCACGTCCTGAGACACACGGTGTCTCATTCTCGAGACTGACTCCGAACCAAACGATCAACATAAGGCTTCAAGACGGACCCGGCGAAGGTATGCTCGGCTTGCTCCCGACCTCCACGTTCGGTAGGTCCGCCAATACTGGTGGATCCCGCCATAGCGGCATTGTCGTAAACCCAGAGTGCCCATCCCAAGCAGACACTTGGTAGATGAGGCATGCAAGTATTAAGATAGATGAGATATAAATAAAGATTCGCGCCCAAGTCGGTTCATGAGAACGCTTAGCTTTTGTCTTCTTTGGCCTTTGGGGAGTATCTCCATCGGTCCCAGTTCTCCAGTACCCACCAGTTGGTGACATAGGACGCGTTGTAGAGCCAGTTGAGAACTTCTTCATCATTGTACACCTTGTCGACCGCGGCTGCTAGATCGGCCAGGCTGAAGCGCTCGATCGGGCTCAGCTCGTTCGGGTCCTTGGACACATCGGAGAAGCGCCATTCCACGTCGTTGACTAGCGGGATCACCAGGCGGAACTCGGGCCGGGCGGCTGACCGAACAGATAGCCATGAACCACCGGTATTCATGACGGTGAAATGCCAGGCTTCACGTCCGTCCTGCTCGACGACCTGTGGTCGGATCAGGGATTGACCTTCGTACAGGGAGCGAATATCGCGGGCAGAGCGTGTGCTATCCTGGCTGAGGGATGCCGACTCGATCAACAAGTCGATAATGGTGGGGACGATCTGGGTGCTGATGACTGGGGTGTCGATCTGGACAGGAGGGAGTTGAGGGTGTGCAATCACAATAGGGACCTTGAAGCTGCCGACGTGGGGGTTGTCATAGGGAGTGATTCCGCCGTCGTTGGGAAGGGAAAGGCCGTGATCTCCAGCCATGACGAACAAGGTCTCATTGGCAACTCCCTTCTCCTCTAGGATATCGATGAGCTCCGAGAGCCAATCATCCACATAACCAACCGAGTTCAGGTATCGATTCATATCATTGTTGGCACCGGATTTTGAGCCCATCATATCTTCATAGGCGTCGTTCGGAACTCCCCACGGATGGTGAGTGGTACTCGTGAGGTGGGAGAGGAAGAGACGCTGGTGGTCACGTTCCGCATCATCGATGGCATCACGGATGTACTCTCGAAGCTCAGATTCGGGGTAGCCATAGTAGTTGACCTCGGCACTCGTAACAGGATAATGCTTGGCCTCGGGTTTGATGATGGTCTCCTTGGTCTGCTTGTCACGGAATCCCAAGTGGGGCGTCAATTTGTCCTGGTTGTCGTACGTTTCGGTGACAGACATCATAAAGGTCGAATGCCACGGCCATTTGGTAAAGTCATCGGTCTCGCTGGTGATATCGGGTTGCTGGCTGAGTATGTCGAAGACGTGGGGCAGACATGGCTGGTAGATGTGGTGCTCGAATTCGCGGTTGAAATCGGCGACCATTGGGGTCACACCACAGAAACTTCCTGTCAAACTCTTGAGAGTATAGGTGGAGGAGGTGATGGCATCCTTGGCACTGATGCCACCATACGCTTTGCGGCCGTTGAAACGGGCATCGTCATGCTCAAATCCATTGGGGAAGTTGGTCAAAAACTCGGCAGTCCGGGTGAGGTTTGCCAGGCGGTCTACTACCTCTGGGGGGATCGTCTTGTCCTTCCAAGTTTCCGCGATGCGCTTGTACATGAAACTGTCCTTCTGCAAGGGGAAGATATCGGCACGTGCACTCTCGAGTTTCAAGAAAACGACATGCTTGATCTTAACATCGCCGCTAGCCAATGCGTTATGGATCTCCTCCAGCACGGGCTTGTCAAGGTTGGAGATGTGCAATGGGTCATCATGTGGGTTGTAGTGAAGCGCTAAGGGGTCGGATTGATCCCAGTCCTCGAAACCAGCAATCGGTTCCTTGGACATCCAGCTCCAACGGGGTGCCGGGCCCAATGCAGTGGCCTGCTCCAAATAATCATAACGAGCCGGTGTGCCCGTGGTATCGACGGGGGAGTGACGCTCGGCGCCTTCAATGACTGTAGTCAGGGGCAAGGTGGTGGACATGTACATATAGACAGGGTCCCACGGTCGCATAAACCTGAGGAAGAGGAAGAGACTGAACAATCCCAGAATGAGGGCTCGTTGGGGGACGCCATCGGTGACTCGCTTGGACTCCGGGAGACGGTTGGGTAGTTGAGCGGTATTCAAGAGGTGATCCCCCTCTTCATTGTCACTGAGATCATCATTGTCATCCATGGAGATTTGTTCGTAGATTCGAGGGTCGGGAAGGTCGGGTGCTGGGGATTTGGCAGGCCAGAAGCGCTGGACCAGGGGCTCCACGTGCGGTCGCACACGAGCAAACAGCCATCGAATGGGCCAGGCCCAGACATGCAGGATTCCTCCGGTGATTGCATGAATGGAATGGGCGGCGAACAATGAAATTGTGAGAAGGATGCCCTCGACAATCAAAAACCCGGTCAAACCGGTGAGCAGGGTATGAATGGCAGCGGCATCACCATTGAAGGACTTGGCTTGGCGCCAGTGGATCTCGGCACCGGTGAAGACATAAAAGGAGGTATTGGCGGCGGCCATGAACGAGACGAGTAGACTGTGGCATAGTTAGATATTATTCAATTGATTTCATTCAGATCAACCCAGATCAATCCAAAATAAAATAAAATAAGATCAATTCAAATCAATGTTGAAAAGCCCCCAAGTTGAAGTTGGAAAAAAGGGGGCACGTGGGTACTTACCTAGAGGGGATTACCAAGATTGCAAGGAGGGCGGCTCCCGGTCGCCACGCGACCTTCTGGGCAAGAATGCGAAACAGCAACAGAATCATCACATCTTGGAAAAAGAAGGTAAGACCCCATAAAAATAGTCGGGGAAGAGGTAGAGAATAGATATGAGCATAAAGATGGAGCAACTTGGCCGTGAATAACGAAAAGAAGGCCAGAGTGAAAAAATAACGACGGGAAAAGTCCCAGACGGCATCCAGGGTCTCACCAGGTGACAGACGAACCTGCCGGATGCCGTGGCTTAAATAAGCATGAACAGCGTGAACGACTTTCATGATATATATGAAATGAATGAAAATGAAATATATATATATAATATACACTTCACACCCCCGGATATTTAAAGAAAAGAAGAAGAAGAACGGAGTAAAGAAGGAGAAAGTCCAAGGGTCTCATTATGCCAAGGATGTCCACCTGGTGGGATTTTAGGTGGAGAACGATGATTAGGTACGGAGAGTACGGAGAATACTACCTAGGTAATCATTTACCGTGTCTTACTATCTTTTATGTTGGTAGTATTATGTAGTATTATGTAGTATGTAGTATGTAGTATTATGAGATATAGTTAAGAATATGATTGAAATTGAATCTTTAGTAACTCCATACTAACCTAACCTGTTACCTGTTATTTTATACGATCCTATCCTGATATCGTTAACTTACGATCAAATGGATCAAATGGCAATCAAATGGTCCCCAAACTTAGCCCCAAACTTCACCCCCCCCCTTCCTTCCTATGTTGTAAGGCCCCCCCCCCCCCCCCCCTCCTATGCTGTAAAGGCCGCCCAAGCCCCCCAAGCCCCCCTAGTCCCCCCAAGAAGGTCCAGCCAAGAAAAAAAAAAAAGAGGCCCCGCTCTCCGGAAAAATAAAAATAAATCGGGTTTCTCCTCTTCCTCCCGTATATCCCCCATCATGTTAGGGAGCTTATTCGGTTGGATCTCGCTCTTATTTGAGCCACTGGCCTTTCAAGTTCCTCTGATTGAACCTCAACCCAGACTCAAGGCAGAAAATGGTATAACCATTCCCGTCCAGGGTCCCTGGCAAGATATCATTACTGGTCATTATGCGATCCCGCCCGTATTGAAAATTCATGACCGGAATAGTGTTGTCAAATGGAGTTGGCAACGAGAAGATGTCACTCAACCCCTGCCTCCTCTGATTCAGAGTGGTTTATATAGCGGTTACAACGATGCGACCGATATGAAGTGGATGCGAGGCGGTAAAAGCGTCGCTGCTGTCTACAGTGCTCTCATCGTTGTCATCAACCATACCCCCGACCAACCCTCCACCGATAAGAAAATCACCTTCGCCCTCAACAGAGCGAATGATGTCCTACACAATGCCCATACCATCGAGCCTTTGCCCGGTGATCGCCTCGCGGTCGGAACCACCGGACAGCGTCCCTGGGACGGTATTTTGGTCTACAACATGAGTGAGGCTCTCCCCCTCGTCGATGAACCTCCCGTATTGCAACGGGTCGAAGGTCTTCGAGCTATCCACGCGATGATCTGGGATGAGCAGGGCCAGATGTTGTGGGCGACCGGCACCGATGCCGCCGCCGATGGCTCCGATCCCGTTCCGGCCTACGGCGTCATTCAGGGATACCCCTTTGATGCCGAGACGGGTCTACTCAGCGTGGATGAAGCCTATCGATTCCGATTCCCCGAGTATTACGATATCGACGTCGAATGGGGACACGGATACAGCTGGTGGTCCGGGCCCCATGATCTCGTCCCCGTCCCCAATGAACGAGTCTTCCTCGTCTCCAACGATATCGGTCTCCACGCCTTCGATATCGATCAAATGAAATTCACCGCAGAATACGATGAAGTCATCGAGAAATATATGCCTGGCTTCGAGGTTACCACCAACGACCGTCATGGGATTACCCGCCAGGGAGAATACGTGGAGTTGCCGCAGTCGGACCTCAAGGGTTTCAGTCTCGCCCCCGATGGAAGCTTTCTATACACCCAGTCTCTATGGCGGCTCTACCGAGGGAATCACACCAGTCTCGTGGTTGACGGGGTGCGCCACCAGATCATGAAAGGGAATGAAATCTATCGGTCGCGATGGTTTGGAGACATCGATGGCTGGCCCAAACCAAAGACATGAATGTTCTTGAAGAACTAAGTTCAGTTGTACAGCACGCCCTGATGGGCCCCCATACCTAAATCTTGATAATGAACGTTTAACCCAGGACACAGCTTCGCCAGCTTGTGCTCATCCCCTCGGGTTTGATTTCTCACGCTACTTCCCAAATGCGCCAACCAAAGTCCATGTATCTCCCATTTTATCTTCCCTTTTCGTTAGAATAGAGTTTTTGTCGACGGGAAAGGCGTCTAGTTGCTTTTTCTTTGTGCTACAGCATGTGAATACCCGACATCAGATATATATACATACCTACATTTAGATACATATGTACCGAATCTG